TCTACTTTCCTTGTGAGACTTATGGGAGAGAAGTGGGGAGAAGCAGTTGAAGAAAATGGCATAAGGTAAAGGTTCCCTTGCTCAAAAGCCAGTCGAATCTGACTCTAGGGTTGCGGTGCTCATCTCCGTTTCCAAGCCGAAGAGCCAGCGCACGGAACGCTGTTACCTTCCCACCAAAGTGGTCCCTATTTATCTACTTGCAATTTCTTGCTTTCGAACAGCTAGGTTGGCAGGAGCTGGAACTAGAGATGGGAGCTCACTCCATCATGCGGCACCCGGGTCTCGAACTGCTGAACTACCGACCTTCCACAGCCTGCAGTTCAGCGTCTTAACCACTTCAGCCACCACAGCTCCGCAGTAGGAGCAGTATGGAATCCCAGAAGGGAAGGAAGTCTGCACCGGTGAAACTGAAAAGACTTCCCAACACATGTATAGGGTTAGAATGTGAAAAAAGCCATTCCCAAATATATACAAAGGAAAAATTATTAGTGTCAGACCAAATACGTGTAGTAGTTCAGCCTCAATCGGACCATAACATGTAAGAAGACTGAAATGTGATTATAAACTTTCCTTCCTCATTGGGCATCAATCAGTTTAAAAAACCTTAATGTAAGTGCATTTAAAATTACATTGCTGACTTGTACACATGCATACCAATGGTGGAAGAGAAGCTCAAAAACTCTTTAGGTGACGAGTGCAATCTTTTGATATAGTGTAGAGAATAGTTTGTGCTGCTTAGAAATATTATTGTAGTGGCATGCAGAGTAGCAAAAATGTATTTATGTTAGAATGTGTCCTTTCCCCCCACCCACAAACATTTGCACACACCAGTGCTTATCTCCCCTTGTTCCTAGAGCTGGGCTGAGTGTGGCTCTCACCTCCCGGAAGGCATCCCGCAGTTCTTTCACCCCAATCATGTCTGCAGTTTCTGCCAGCATCTTGGGGCCCATCAGATCCACAAAGTCTTCAAAATCTACCTTTCCACCAGCTGTAGATAGAGAAAGACCATTTCAGAACTGGGCAGCACCAGGTTATTATACCAAGAGCTGATTCAGGCTCTTTCTGCGCCCGTCTGTTTTCCCACAGCCATGTTGGAACATTAATCTCCCTCTGCGTGGCATCCCACTGACACTTTCCTTGGGCATCAGGTTATTTTGGAGCTTCTGCTTAGTTTTATGGCCGTTCAGCATTGACTTCGCAGTCATTACGGCGTTGCCCCGGGGTATCTGAATGTGGTTTTGGAGCGGACCTTTTGCCTCTTCCGCTTCCGCTTCGGAGGGAATAATAAGACAACTTGATGTGGCTTTAGTCATCTCTGCCCATTCCCCTTTCCCTTTCCCTATTTCTGCTTCTATTTAATTTCCACCTAGCACACAAGTTGCAGGGCAGGTAGAGGGGCAGCCTGGGGAGTTTGACGCTTCTAGCTTGCAGGCGGGGCGTTTGACACACTCCTCCCCCTGCCCCTTTGCACAGTGGAACCTAGGGAGGGATGCCCCCTCCACAGGTCACAAGTGACATTAACCACAATTAAGCAAAAAATGCAGGTTTTGGTTGTAGATGCAGAATGCATACACAAAAATAAACTGGAGAAAAAAGAAGAGTGCAGAGAGCAATGATACGAAATACGAAGTTAACCTTAGAGTCTCGACTGCCTGGATTCTCTGGAGTAAGCTACAGTGAGCTGTTAGTGCAGAAAGGCCTCAGTCATAAACAGGGCTTCTTTCAACCTATGCTGTCATTTCCTTAACTTACAAACCACACTGTCTTGTGGACACTTTATAACAAAGGACTCTGACTTCCATGAATGCAAATCACCAGTGGGTTCATTCCAAACTGGCTATGCATTGGTGATTTGTCCTTGGTAGCAGTCAAAAAGTTTATCTCTTCTTAACTATCACCCAGATATTTTCTTGTAATCCAAACTCCTCTGTAGATAAGTGATGCTTCTCTTGCTGTAACATATCTGCACTATAAACTTCAAAGGTTATCAGTGGGAGACTGGCAATGTGCAGAAGCCCTTCTGGATAGGAAGGATACAGACATGCACATTAACAGATTTTCTGGACTGAAAGATCTGCACCAGTTACCTCTCTGTTCTCAGGCACAATTCAGAGTGCTGATTCTTACTTTTAAGGCCTTAAATGGCTTGGGACCAGGGTATCTGAAGGACCAATTCCTCCCATACTATCTAGCCCACCAGTTAAGATCAGTTCCTCAAGCCCTGATCTCTCTGTGCCTGAGCCTTCGTAGGTGAGGCAGGTGGTACCTAGAGACAGGGCATTCTGTGGTGGCACCTCACCTCTGGAATGCCCTCCCCTGAGGCTCACTTGGTGCCTACTTGACTTTCTTTCATGCACCAGGCTAAAGCACACCTTTTGGGCCAGATTTTTAATTAGAGGTTTTATCTTAGTAGCTTTTTAAAGGTCTATTCTGTTTTATGGACAGTTTTTATGCTTTGTGTTAAATGGCTTGTTTTTATAACGTTACACTGTAGGGATGGGCACGAACCAGGAAAATGGTGGTTTGCTGGGGTTTGTGGTTCATTTGTGTAATGTACTCCGCCATTACCACGTGCGCGACCGTTGGGCCATGCGGTCAAGCACAAGCACAAAGCTTCGTACATTTAGAACAATAGCCAAGCGGATCCTAGCCCGCACCAATCAGAGGGCCAGGTCCGCAGCCGAGAGCCTATGGGACTCTCGGCTTCTGTAAGTTTCTGAGTACTTTTCACTGGCGACGAAGGTGGGATTCTACCCTTCCTGAACAGACCCGGAGGAGACCAAGCAGCACCGAGCACCGATTGCACCGCCGCAGCAGCCCCGCCGCTCGCCGGAGATCAACGCTCCATCGCACAACATCTCGCTCCGTAACCACCAGCATCTCACCACGCCGCGCTCACAAGCTCAGGGCCAGCTCAGCCTCCCTGCACCGTGCCTTGCCTCGTCACACCGCTCCTCGCTACGATTCGCGGCTCCCCGCTTCGTTTAGCATCAGCCAGATCGGCCGCGACTCGTCACGCCGCGCTCCTCGTCTAAGCCAGCCTGCCGCCTCGTCTCTTCGCTTCATCTACGGCTTCACATCGGCTAGCCTTGCCGATTCCCTGCAGCCCGCCTCACAGCCTCGCCACACTTCACCAGCCGCACCTCGTCAGCTCACCTCGCCGTCAAGCGCAACTGCGACCATGCGCACACGCCAAGATGTCGGAACCAGGCTCCTCCTCCTCCTCCACTTCATCCACTCCTTCGGGTGCCGCCGCCTCAGCCGCATCCGCCGGGATCTCTCATGAGGGCATCGCTCCCTTCGACCTTGCACACCCCGAGCGATGGACCACTTGGGTGATGATCCTCAAGAACTACCTCGCATGTTTACGGGTCACCGACGCAGGTATGAAGAGGTCCCAGTTCATACGCCTTTGTGGGATGGATACCCTCCTCCTCCTGCAGGACCTGATATCACCCAAGGAAGTAGAGAGGGAGAGCTTTGATGACCTCATCGCAGCCCTCACTGCTCACCTCGTCCCGAAGCCCACAAAGTTTGCGGAACGCATGGACTTTTTCGCTAAAGTCCAAGGCCCGGAGGAGAAAGCTGCCGATTTCCTAGCAAGCCTTCGAAAGGCCACCACGCAGTGCGCCTTTCCCAGCCTGGAAGACACACTGCTCAACCAGTTCTTGGGGGGCCTTCGAAAGGCAAAATTGAGGAGGCGTCTGATTAGAGAGGACAACCTCACGCTGGCACAGGCTTTAAAGGATGCGGCGGCTTTCAAAAAAGCGCACCCAGGACGCAGCGGACACCAGGTCCATTGCACCGGAGCCGTCTCAGACTCGGCCGACTCCGAGGACGACGAGGTCTTGA